ACACTTTCTACTCTAGAAGGAGTCAAGAAATATCTTCATGGCTAGCCTGGTCTTCCCCATAAATTAAATTGGTGCAAAATTATTTTCTCAAAGGTTTAACATGTCAAGTCTCATGAAATGTCAAACAGGATCCTTTCTCCGGTCTTGCCTGTAACTGGAATTCATTCTTCCATGTTTAAAACATGCTCTTTCCCTTAAATGTGAAGAGTTTTTTGGTCTCCACACAGATAAAAGAGAAGGAGCAAACAGATGAACTATAATTAATGGCAGGGCTCTCAAGTCTAAAGCACACTGTAGGCTTTCTAATATCCTTCATTTAGATTGGTAACTTCCCTCACATCTGAGGTGCAAGTGCACAAAGTCAATGGTAGTGATTCCCTGCCTCCAGCTGTAATCCCCAGAAACATGCTGGTGTGGATGTGTTTTAGTGTCTTGTAGCAAGTCCATGGGGACATTTTGAGAGGACCTTCAGTTCCTATGCAGTTCTGCCTAGAGCAGGAGCTGCACTCTCTTGCCACAACAAGATTTTACTCATAAGCAGATGTCACCTCGGCTCTGGTTAAAAAAAACAAAAAAAAAAACCAAAAAAAACCCAAGGAGTTTGGAAAACCATGAGAAAGCTGCTGTTCCCTAATCTAGTTGCTTGTCCAGCTTCCTCCATTGTTGTAAATTGCCAAGTCTTTTACAAATGTTAAACATATGGTGSTAGGTAATACACAAGGAGAGATGCTGACCACTTCAGTTTTCTTGCGTTTCTGCTCAATGCAAACCTATTTGGAGAGGTACCTGAAGATGGGWAAGGAAAATACTGAAGATGACTCCATCACTGTTTCTGAACAAAGCCTGGGTCAGTTAAAGGCTGGTGGGGAAGGCTGGAAACAGTCCCTGTGCTGCTGTATTTGAAGCGTTATCTAGCAGGAGGCACTGATCCAGATTACTGGGATCATGGAAGAATGTCCTGGTATCCCTTCAGGTTTCTTGTGCTCAGGGCTTTATTTTCTGTCAGAAAGAACAGAGAAATAGCAGCTGGTTGAAGAGAAGTGGTCGAGTGTAAGGTGGGGGAGAGGAGGAATGCCACTACTACTTTTACAAAATATTCAGAAAGCAAACTACCAAGAAATTAGACAGCAAAAATGGAGTGAATAATTAAAATGATCTAGCCCCAAAGCAGAGGAGAGGTTGCTTGTTTAGTCAACAGGAAGTCATGTGCTGGTRCGTACCATTATAAATATATATTTATTTTTTCCATTCACCCTTTGCTCAGAAATTGCCTTTTGAAAGTAGCACCGCTGCTTTACGCTGAGCACAAGAGATGCAGACACCTGCTTCCCCGGCCTCAAGAGAAAACCTCAAACAGAAAAACTTTCTCTGGCTCACAAGTGCTGATGCACCACAGACACAGGCTTGCACGGGGACCCTGAGCAGGGGAATGGGTGGTGGAGCTCCTTGCAGTGGCACTGGCAGATAAATAAGCTGATATGCTGATTTATTATAAWCACATAGAATATGCTCATTTAATATGAACATGTGCTAAGTGTAAGATTACATTAAAGTGCCTTTTTATTACACGCATATTGCACTCCACAAAGATTCATCAACCATTTTGAACCACAGACCCAACACGAAGGCAGTGCACCTGCTCAGACACCTCTGCCAGGCACACCACTCCCATTACTCCAGTCCTGGGTGCAAAAAACACCCCCACACTGGATGTAGAGCAGCTTGCTGCCTAGGACATGGGACAGAGACATTTGTCCCCAGAGCTACCAACTCATCTTGTGATGCAGCTGTGGATGCTGTGCCTGGGGAGGAGGTTTCAGCARTTGCACAACAAAGTGATTTCATGTTGTGGAAAATACAACACAACATACGTAAAAGATGTGAGGATATGTGTGAGGTTTCCCTGGGATGGACATCACCAGAGAAGGATGATGTGGTGCTGGGGTTTGCAAATGCAAAGCTAAAACACTGTGGGGTGCGTGTCAAGGAGGTTGCATTGAAATGAAACAAAAGCAGGGATTACAGGTTATGAGAGGGAAGAGGGAAGGAAAGAAGGCAGGAGTTCAGGATGTGTGGAAGCACCTCTGGGAGGATGTGTTTACGAAACTTGCACTGCTGCATGCTGCAGGATGGTCAGTGATGCCACTGATGCAGAATTGAGGGCATCTGGCTGCTRGGTGTGCACTAAGGTTATATATTATCGTGTGTTTTACTAGTAATTCAGCTTTCCAGGCTTGCACTGCAAAATCTTTACCTGGAGACTTGACACACATTTTATTTTTGYTCCACTGTTGAGCTTGTTTTGGTGCTGAGGGATGAGGCAAATTAGGGTGACACTTTTGAATTGAGTGTACATTTTTCAACCACAGCCCCGTGAGTGCTTCTCATTCCTGCCCTGAAGCTCTCTGCCAGCCCAGCCCGGGGGTCCTTATAGAAACTAATAAACCTTAAGCCTGCCCCTGTGATCCCACAATTATTTTCTGTCACTGCCTGTTTTAGTGCCCTCCACTATGTCTCTAGKCCAACAGCACTTGCAGCCCTTGCTACCAGACACTGACACCTGCTGAGATCACCCGCAGGAAAGCAGGAAAGGGGCTGGATTGGGTCGAGGAGTTGAGACCTATCATGAACGCAGGTAAGAAATGTGACCAAAATCCACATACTTATGCTAAACGTGCTCTAGTGCATCCTCTGRCTTGAGGCCGTGACAGGGTTGGGAGCTTATCTCATTAATGCCCAGAAAAACAGGCTGCAATCAACACAGGGCGTGTCCCTGCCATGGTAAAGTACCCACCAGAGCTGCCTGCACCTTGCTGCTTCCCACAGCAGTGCCTGCAGCTTCAGCCTCCAGCTTGCCCTGCCCATCTCCCTGGGCTCCTGGCCCGGCACTGCACAGACCTGGAGAACGCCCTCTGTGTGCTCAGGGAGCTGCAGGCTCTCCTCCAGTGCTGCTTTGCTCTCCTACAGCCTCAGCTGCCCGTCTGGGCACCCCACAGTCTGCTCCAGAGCGCATCTTCCCCTCCTTCATGGAAGCCACTGTCTCCRTATCTCTGCGATCACCCGCTAGCCRCAGGGACAAACTGGGTTTTGCACTGCAGTTTTTCACAATGAGACTCACCTTCTAGCTGTGGTTATGGTTTTGCAAACCAGTGCTGCCTGTGATCAGCTCGAGTTTGTGCAGTGCTGCAGCTCGTGCTGCTCAGTGCAAAAAGAGCTTGCACCTGGGGCCTGCGTGGTAAATCCTGATTTTAACTTCCCTGTTGTCTTTGGAGAAGTACTTTGTTGGAGAGACCGAGACAGAAATCTTAGACGTTCAGGAGAAAAATGGCATGTTGCATGTTCCTTGGCTGTCAGTTTTGTGCTGAGTACTTTACAGTTGTAAAACAATTCCTTGGCTGGAAGTCCTCGTGAGCATCTCTTGGTCTTGCATTCATATACACAGCCAGTTAATTTCCTTTTGCCCAGTCTGTGCTCAACATGGGGACACCAGGTCCTCTCTTCCGTCATTTCTGTGCAGGTACAGGTAAGGCACAGACAAATCTACTTAAAGCTGGTTAGCTTGGTCCCATTACARTTTGGAAAACTGGGAACAAGGCCAGAAAAGCTTTTAGATTGGAGAGGCAAAAATCTACCTTGAAGCAGTGCCCCTGGGGACTCTCAGGGAACAGAAATMGCAAAGAGGTTTGCAGAGACTGCGGAGAGTTCAGATGCCTTTCCTAAGGTAAACCAAAGGGAGATTGCAAAGAYACCAGCTGATGGACAGTGGAGCCAAGAGAGAGGATGTGTGGGGACAGTGCTGGGCTCAAGCAGAGCTGATGAGATGGTCACTGGTCACCGTAGCACGGAGAGTCTCAGGAGCAGCCACACTCACACTGCACCAGGCRGAAGAGAAACCCTTCTGAAGGTGCCAAGAAGGCAGCAAAGGGCAAGACCCACCAGGCCCCTGATGAGCTGTGGCTGTGAAACAAATCCTAAGGAAGGCCAAGAAACTGGCAGCCAGCATGGACAAGAAATAGCTACAAAATAYGAAAACTGAGAGCGCAAAAGAGGCAAAGATCCAGCTCAGGGCAAAACAGTGAAACCCAAGGCTACCAAACACGAGGCTGAGAAATTGAAAGTGACCTCAGGGTGAGAAATAGATGCTGTGTGAGCATAGAAAAAGTGGCCTGCTGCAGGGACACAGGCTGCAAATCCTTTAATTGATACACTGATTTTTTTTTGTCATGTTTTGCATTTTTTAACACAATTTTCCCAAAGGAAGAGAATGATTTTAATAATTTTAATGTCTTGTTTTGCAATAAAACCTCACGCTTTGTATTAATTAAAATTTCTCCTTGTTATTTCCTTCAGTTTCTGCAGCATAGTTGTAGGGGAGACAGAGTTTGCTCGGAGATGCACAGCCAAAAGAACAGAGGCAGCAGACAAAAGCTGCAATGAAGAAATCTCTGATCTGACAKCAGCAAACTCTTTTCCATCTTAAACATGGTGCAGCACTGGAACAGGTTGTGGATTCTCCATTGCCTGCTGACTTTTTCAAAATTCACCTCTGAGGAATCTGATTGGCTTTGAAGGTAGCTCTGCGCGCCAACTTTCAATATAATTTTCTTTATGATCCTAACTGGGAACATATATGATGTCCATATGCACATTTATTTTAAAAAATGCACCGCTTCATGTACATTTATTCTTACATTTAAGCAGGTGAGATCTGACATGACTTATTAGTTAGCACACTGGATTGCACATGCTTCTCTATTACACCTTTTTGCTAATTKGTGACGCTCTGTATTTGTAGGGAATTTGAAATCTTGGTAAAAAGCCCCAAACAGCATTCTGATAATTAATTCATTAAATTAATTTAATGTCTTTCACCAATTCACTTTAAAAAGATGTATTTCAGCATAGTAGCAACAAGCACATGCTCTTCGCATTTTAACTGAGATAATTCATATTATTGAAAATATTTGTATTTGAAAAAATAATTTACACTAATAGCAAAAGTAGACAGTCAAATACCTTTGTGATGTTTCATATATACTTTTAAATAACTTGTTTTTAATGGACTAAAATCCAGCTCTCTATTTTGTGGGAGTTTATTCTAACCTGCTTCATTACAGGGGCTAAGGATGTCATGGAAAAAAAGAGAAAGAAGCAATATGCTAAAGATCAGAGGGCAGGGAGTGAAGAGCAGGGATGAAGAGATTCAGAACTGGAATTCAGGTTTCCCCCAATCAAGGCACTGTTCACAACTGGACAAATGTACACTGTCAAACAATGTCAGACTATGTGATGCCAGGAGTCAATACTGTAAGACCGTGTACCTTTAATATCTCTGGAAAAAACCCCACCCAAACAATTTCTTTAAAAAAAATTAAGATGAAATTCCTTTTGGTTTCAACCCAGCTCTTCTTTGCCTCATAGAGGTGCTCTTTTTGGATGGGCTGAAAGCACCAGTCCCTTCTGTGTAGACAATGGCACATGGCAGCCAGCAGTATTTCCCTGAGGGATCCCTCCAAGCTGAGATGCCCGATGTCACCACACTTTTGCTCATGCTGTGGTTTCTTGTGAACAAGATTCAGACAAGAAGTTTCAGGAGCTTCTAGGTGACATGGCAGCTGCTTCCAACAGCTTCCCCATGCTTTTCAGCTCCATACACCCAACAGTGAGGCACTGCTTCAAACTGGGGAGCAGACATTGGAGCACTGGACTGAAACAGCAGCCTTCAAACTGGTCACACTGGTTGGTACTGGGGAGCTGTGACAGCAAAAGAAACAGGAACAGCATTGTGTGGGAGTAACTTCTGGGCATCTAACTCCTGCTCCAGGTCAGGAGAGTTTATGAGAATCAGCCACAAATGCCAAATCATGCTTGTCAAAACAGGGCTCTGACAGCTTTCTTTGTGGCTAGCCCAACTGCATGAGCAGCACACCTAGCTGCAGCTGTACTTAGAAACACTTCCCTGGCTTGCAAGAGAAGGCACTGTCCAAATACCACGGCAATTTGGGTTGGAATGGCAAAGGAGAGAAATGTGTGTGTGGGATAAGTGCTATTGAAGCCTGTGCAGACTCTTGTACTGCAAGGCAAAGGAAGAATAAGCTGAATCACATAAAGTTGATGGCATATATTGTGCTTGGCTCACACAGCCAGGGCAAAGTGCCAAAGGACGGACACTGCAAAGGCCAAGAGCTCATGAGACAGAGCAGGTCTGGCCTGTGCAGGTGGGAACAATATCTGCAGTCACTGGGGCTGAGGCTGCATCCATCAGAGCAGTGCGAGATCAGGACACCGCAGCTTCAGCCAGGAAGGGGCACTGACTCCAGAGGAGAGCGTTGTGCAATAACCTGCATTGTGTGGATTAATCCTGAAGATCTATGGGGCACTCTCAGAGGCAGCCTAATGGGTAATTTGGCCCACAGCCACTTTTGTTCTAGAAATACCATCTAAACACAGACTTGACTGCTTGAAGACATTGCTCAGAGTCTCCCACGTCTTAGGGCTCCATTTTTTCAAGCAAAATGTGATGTACAGTCAGTACCTGATAAAACTATGCAAAAGTCAGAAAATCAATGAAAAAGAAATKTTCCTAATCCTTTTGACCTAGATGTGTAATTTTTAACATAGTCTTTCAGTTATTCCCATTATAGAGTTAAATGGTTGTATTGAAAAAAAATTTCTCTGCTTTTGTGATATTTATTACAGCTTTTCTCCTATTTCAGTCATCTTACCGTTTTACTTGGAGATGCTAATTCTCCATCAGAAACTCATGGCACATGTACAGTGAAAAGATGTGTCCTCAGCACAAATTTCATGGGCTGGGAGGAGTTATCCCTGTGTTCAACAGCTACCAATTGTCAGGAAAATCTAGCACAGCTATCCATGATTGAAAAAAAAAAAAAAAAAAAGTTTTGGAGAAAATGTTTTCTCTAGAAAAAAATGAGTTCCCAGAAAGATCTGTGATTCATGAGTGAAGGGAGGGTGACAGCAGAGGACTAGGCTAGCAGGGAGTAAAAAGGTCTAAATGATAGAGTTGAGCTGGAATCAAGTCTCCCCATAAATCTGGAGGAAATACAACAGGAGACAAATAAACCCAAACACATGAGAGTTGCCAAGAATAACAGGAAATAAATTTTCTTTTAATATGGATTATATAGACTCTAGCATTAAAACAGTGTTCTCCTGGAGAGGAGCACCTCTTCCTGTCCCTGCTGAAAGCAAGCAACAGAAAGGCTTCTAACCACTTCCCAATCTGTATGAAAGTTAAATTTCTATATGCTGTACAGTAGCTATGTTACCCAGTTATGCATCTATAGCGACATATATTCAACTCTAAATACAGAGTGGAGACTTGACCTAGTCCAGTTTCCAAGATCTCCCTCTCACACCTCATCTCCATCCTACCATCCTCCATACAGGCAATTCTCACAGGTATCCCAGCATGGAAGCCAGTGGCTTGAATGTCTTTGAGATGAAGCTCAGTGATCTCCTCTCTACACAAATGTAGACCCTCTCAGTATAAAGAAATCCCTCTTTCATTCCTACTCTCATGAGCCTGGAGTACTTGAGAGGACCATCGTCCTCGGTGTAGGGGTGCAATCCTTCTATGTGTAKGACAAAATTCTAGTCACCACACAACTTGGAATTCTTTCTCCTGTATACTGGATTAATAGAGAGAGATTTAGCCCATCTAGGGCTAATTTTGACTTCATATGGAATCTGTCTGCACAGGGTGTCTTCCTCTACACAGAGGATGTAACCAGCTTCTTGCTGCACACCTCAGAAATGCAGGTCCTGGTGAGACAATCCTACATGAATCGTTTTGCGCTGTTTCTGTGCAGCAAACTGTCCCCAGTGCCGTCTGAAGGTGGCTCTGTGCAGCATGGCAGGGCTGAATGGTCTCTGTTCAGCAGAAGAGTTTATTATGTGATTTGCCTAATCTAGCAAACTGCCTTTCAGATAGTTGGKAACACAGAGATCCAGAGACAGGGTCTTGCTGATCCTCTGCTGCAGAGCCCCGGTGCCCCACAGAATCATGCCACTAAGAGTCACATGGATTGATTAACACAATTCAGACTGCTCTTCCTCACTTACCCTACCCAGTCTCACCATGAATGCTGCCATATACCTGGAAATGCTCTCCATATATCTAGAAAACAAAGTTCCCGAGCAGACATCCAGTGCTACCAGAGTGAATTCTTCTGCTCAGGCTGGCCTGCCTAAGTGCWTATACCTGCAGATATGTTTACCTTCCCCATCAGCACCTGGCTCTGTGCAGGTCAGCAGAGCCAGAGAAGCTGCAGGAAAATCCCAGGTCCCAGATAACCAGAGATCCCAGATAATGATTCTGCTCCCATATCTGATTCCAATTTGTGGCTCCTTTCTGCTTTGTGCAGGAGCTTCCAGGTCAGGAGGTAGGAACTYAACTGCAGATATTGACAGCAGGCACAGCAGSTGGAGAGTGTGGAGGTAGCCAGACMCCAGGACAAGATAATTCATTGCAAGTTCTCAGTAATGTCAGGCCACACAGGTTCTTCATGGGCTTTCTTGGGCTTAGGAGTGGAGGCAGCTGTAATTACTGCTCCCTGGACTTGCCTGGAATGGGCATCAAGAGATGTCTTCAGTGGGAAGGGAGGGGCAAGAATAGGGGAGAGGAGAGGAAGGAGTAGAAGAGGCAGCACTCTGTTCCAACATAATCTKTTTGAGTAAAATATAATGCCATACTAAATCCAGAATCCTTCCCTTTGGTAGCAGTTGTGTGTGAGGGAGGCGATGGGCTTGAGACAAAGAACTTCCCAGAGGTAGTTATAAATGATCTGTTACCATCCAGGGACATTGAGGTTTGCCTTGGGTTCAGGACAGCTCATCTCCCAGTTCTATCATTTCCCTGAGGCCAGCAGACACAAGGARGAGGCTGTGCTATCACACAACAAACTCAGTGGCTCAGGAGAATCGGAGAGGCTCAGGCTGACCAGCCACATCCGAGCTCATACTGATGCCAGGCAAGCAATCTAGGGCAGGAGTCCTAGGGCATAAAGATGAGATGAGATGCAGCTTAGGGCATCTGAACCATTGGAGAGAACCACGCCCTGTCCCCATTTCTGTTTCTCTCCAGGGGCAAAGCAAGAGAAGGTGCAGCACATTTATAAAGACCTCTGGGAAATGAGCAGTTCACAGCCTGCCAGGCAGAGTGTGAGAGAAAAGAGGGGAGAATCCCATATCCTCAGCAGCAGATCACAAATGTGACAACAGCTACCATGACAGACCAGCAGAGAGGGCACTCTGTGTACTGCAGCACCTGAGGAAGAGGATGTAGTGGAAGGCATAGAAGCAAAGAAATGGTGGGGAAATCACAAACAAGAAGGACTTGTCTTGGGCTGTAGGCAGTGGATGMTGACTTCTCTCCCTTCCTTTTCCTCTCCTCCTGTGGTAGCTCACAGAGCATCAGGCCTTCCCTGCTGCTCCAGGAGCTGTCGGCAAGGGAGAGGCAGGGGCTGCCCGGATCGGCGGAGACGTCGAGGAGGAAGGCCAGCCAGCTGGCGACAGATCTCATCTGAAGACACAGCAGACACACACAGGTTGACAGATAATCATAGCTTCCTTCAAATTCTTCACTAGCAGAATAGTTACAGGTATATCCTTCACTGCATCTACAGAAACTGTTGAAACTGCTGAATCCTCTTATACATGAAGCAAGCAAAGCAAGTCCTTAGGCTTTTATGAATTTCCTTCAGGCTTTATGCGTGTACAATACATATTAAAACCACTTGTATTTTGCTGCAACAAACATTGCATTAAAAAWCTAGACTGGATCCTGCTTCTGTTGATGAACAGAAACAGGTATTTACTCCTTAACCTCAAAGGAGTACAACTTTGAGTAAGGGTGTATCTGGGACTACTAGACCGTGATCAAGATCGAGGAACACAGTGCTCTCATACTTCTTAGTAGTAMAATATCTACTTCCCAGTCTTTTAATCATGTGTGTTAGATCCAAGACTGCATTGCACTACAAGTCTTTCAAAGTCCAGGGAAACTACTATGTGTGGATTAGGGTCTAAGCCAACTAGCTAGCTTGGAGACTTTATCAGATGGCTGCAGCTATCCTTCTATCCACTCACCTTGCATGACCTCATTCTCCTTGCAGATGGTGCGAGTGCACACCTCCTTGTTTATTATGTACATGCGACGTACACTGCAGGATCACCAGGGTCAGCAGACAAAAGCACAGGGACACAAAGAAACAAAAAAGGGGTACAGGGAATAAACATGTTCACTAATGACCAGGCAATTCCTGAATTTTTATGATTACTTAGCCTAGAATAAGGCTGCTCAATAGAAAAGTAATCTTTGTAAAGGCTTTATTAAATCTTAGAATCATAGAAAGGTTTYGGTTGGAATCGTCACCAGAAAAGATCATCTAGGTCCACACTCACTGCCATGGGCAGGGATGCCACCCACTGGATCAGGYTGCTCAAGACCCCACATCAAACCTTGCCTTGAACACTTCCAAAAATCAGGCATCCACAACTCCCCTGAGCAACCTGTGCCAGTGCCTCACCACCCTCAGAGYAAAGAATTTCTTCTTGACATCTAATCTAAATCTCTCCTCTTTCAGTTTAAAACCATTCCCCCTTGTCTTATCACTATTTGCCCATGTAAAAAGTTAGTCTCCCTCATTTTCATAAGCCCTCCTAAGCTACTGGAGGTGTAATGAGTTCTYCCTGGAGTCTTCTCTTCTCCAAGCTAAACAAACCCAGCTGTCTCAGCCTGCCTTTGCAGGAGAGGTGCTCCATACCTCTGATCATTTTCATGGCCCTGTAAATGACTAAACACCTTAAATATGGATTACAATATAGGGCACATTTAGCTCCTTAGTGCTGCACAGACTATAGTCATTGTGTTGTTTTAAATGATCACCCTAAAAGGACACTCCAGGATTCATCTCACCAACTGATTCCCACAGAACCCCAGTCTTCCCTTCTAGACTTCTAGACTCCCTCTAACCTTCAAAGGGAACAGYTGCTGAACTGGAGATACCATTTCTGGGCAGTTTTTAGGGCTTTTCTTAGGGACTGCTGGTTTCTTACCTTGTAACACAGAGGTAGCTGATACACTGCTTTACTGGCTTGTGAACAGAGTACAGGCGAGTGCAAGGGAACTTTTCTTCACGACAATCTGGGAACACACACACAAACCAAGATGCAATRCAGCATCATGGCCAGGTGCACTCATTCTGGCACATACATGATTTAATCACTAGGTACAGTCCTCCAGGCTTCTAGCGAAGGACCCCAGCCTCTATTGTCTACTTTCATCTGAGAGTGGTTAGTGGATTGGTTTAGAGGAGAGGAAAAAAATGAAGACATTTCTGATCCCTTTGCTTCATAAGACAAAAGGAAGGGAAAGTTGAGTGAAATGCAAACCAAACCCACTGGACATCTAGAATACAGGAGACACATGTTGTACAGGGGACAGACACATATAAACAAAGTGTAAATTTTAGTTGCATGTTTAAGAAGTGTTTCAAATAGATGTGCAATGATCGCATTTCAGRACACAAGTCTATTTCCTTTCTTTTCTGGACAATCAACCCTGTAGCTACTACAAATGGCTTTTCTTGCACTTCATTCTGAAATGTCAGGTCGTGGACACTGACACAATACTGACCCCTTGTATCTGGTCTGCTGATCTGCCAGCTCTTCCCATCCCAGGCAAGCCACMTTGGAGAAGGCTTCAGCTTCCACTACCATTATCCACTACTTCTAACTCAAGKAACAATTGAAAGCAATTTTCCAGGAGACAAAGTTCTGTGCCCTGCCAGAATYTGCCTGGAGAGGTAAAAGGGTGGGTGAAAGTGGGTCTGGGAGGGGGTACAGGCAGCAAACTTATGACACACCTGATGATGCCGCTGTTGTCTCGCTGTCAGACAGAACTGGAAGACAGAAGTTAGCAAAGTTAGTTAGTTACCATGATTCCTTCCTAGACATCAGCTTAATCAAAACAAATACCTAGAAAGCTCTTTCAAGAGCTCTCCATTGTAACTTCTGATATGGAAAAGATTTCACCGGCATGAAACCATAAGGTACAAATCCAATAGGAGTGTAGTGCCAGCTACAGCAGCAGTCAACAATGCTAGAAATTTGCCTAAGCTTTCCCATAAAACATTACCACTACTGTTCAAAATTATACTGTAAGGACATTTTGACTTAAAATTCAAAAGATCAGGTAAAAGTCTTTAGCTGCTGTAATTACCATTTGTCTAGGCAAGAGGCGAAAGAGCCTGCGACTGCCTCTTCCTAAGGAACAGTGACACCTTTAAGAAACAGGATCCCAAGACRCCTGGTTCTTTAATGTCCATGACAAGGGATCAAAAAGAGGTTGGCTTGTTACTCCCGCTGATAAAGTAACCCATCTGTACAACAGCAAACCAGTACATTTTATAATTTAACCAGTAACCAACTGGAAAGGAATTCAGAGAACTAACTGCCGGGTGCAAGTTCTTATCAAAGTGACAGAGGACTTTTACTTCTGGTCAGCCAGAAGAACAGACTAAACACGTGTGTAAAAGAGAATGAATCTTTTGGGTGTGGGGTTGTGCTTAGGGGCAGTCAGGGAAGGCAGGATTCCAGCTGTGCTAGGGACTGTGTGAGGAGAGGGAAGGAGGGTCCACAACATGTGGCTRCCAACTGAGAATAGACTCACCAGGAGGAACAAGCGCAGGTGGTGTGAGAGTTGCACCTGGGAAAAGAGAARATGTGCTGAAAGATCTTAATTTGAGCTTCCAGTCTCTTTCCTCCTGCCACTGTTCTGCCARTGACTCACTAGTCCTGACCAGTAGCCATCCCACATCTGGTTCATAGATAATGCTGATCATGGYGTTGTTATTATCTGACTTGTCAGATATCTGCAGGTTTTCCTTGGAAATATGCTCGGTATCCTAGAGCTGATAGGATGCTGCAGAGCAAAGATGGGTTCTAATAGCACATCCTTTGTGAAGAGTGTTGCCTGATCTCTCAATAACAAGCATTTTGAAGCCCAAGTTTGCTATAAAGGCTTCACTTTTAGTGTTTAAATTTTAGATGCAGGTCCGTCACCACCATTTTGGACTAGACACTAAGTCCAATCCACCCTSCTACACACTGTCAGGCCTCACACACTGAACACAGTTGCTTTCACCTCCCATCCCAACCAGGAAGATCATACATCTTGTATACACAATATTGTGCTTCTGCTTTTGTCTTCCAGTGTTTTCTCAAGGCAGTCTGACCCACAATAAATGCTGCAGCCAGCTGATGAGCAGAGTCAGGGCAGGGACAAACTAGAGAGCTGATGTTCTAGAGAATACGACACCACTCTCAGATGAGCTCCCCCAGCCACAGCACACACTCCCCAGAAACAGCCAGGCATAGCTGCCTCTCTTTGAACCACAGCGTCGACCACATGTGTTCTCCYTCTCCGTGCCCTGCCTGGTGTTCCCCATCTCAGAGGGAAGGGTTTAGAGAGTGCTCCAGCAGAGAGAGAAACCATCCCTAAAAGGCCAGTGGTGCCAGACTTGAAACCAGAGTTGGGTTGGAAAAAGTGGGGAGGCTGCTTCTTGAGGCTCTTTTCCTCCATTGCCAACTGTTGCAAATGCCTACACTCCATCAGCTCTGTCCTTCTCCTGAGGCCATCTCTACTCTCTAAGGAGACACACTGTGTGCTGTAAGTGCTCATCTTCCAAGTCCTCCATTTACCCTGCCTTTCATAGACATTTTGCTGCCCCCCTGTGACACAGCCACAGTCACAGTGTGAGGACAGTACTGAAAGAACAGAACTTCCACTTCCCCACCCCAGCAATGCTCAAAGTTTGCTTTACTACTTCCTGCGGTTTTTTTGCCACCTCAGTCTCCTGACCACTGACGCATGTCTGCTATCTGTCAGCAGACACACACACACACACACACACACAACCTGTGTCCCAGGGCTACCCAGTTTGAACCTGTCCAATTTCTCAACATCATCATTTAGTCACTTTGCTCCTGTCACCTTCTCTGGAAGCTTTGAACTTCATGGCTTCCTGCAGTGAAAACATCTTCAGGGAACCCTGGTACACCAGGTGCGATTGGCATTTCCTTGGAAAACAGATCATTAAGTTACCCTAAATTCATCTCACTCCACGGAGCACAGAAAGGACTCCCAGACTGCCATGAGTGCTGGAAGAACGCTGCTACACATCAAGTGGGGAGTTTCTGGGCATAATGGGTAATTTCTGGGTCTGTGTAGGCAGAAGTAGTGAAATGCGAAAAAGAAGCATGAAGATRCCAAGAGATGGGAGCTTACCAGAGCTGCTGTCAGGGGTAACTCCACCTGGAAAAGAGAATGTCCTTGAAAATGCTTACCTTTACTTTATGGTCCCTTACACAGCTAGCCAGACCCAGCCTGAATTACCTCTGCTGCCATCACAGGCTCAGGAGACAGTGGGATCCAATCCAGTAAATACATAATCAAACACAGTACCCCTAATCCACTCCCTTTTCCAGTGACTGGCCTAGGACTGGATTTCTTAGTGCACATGTTGCATCAACCCTCACTGAATTCTGGATGCATATTCTGACTTCTCAGATATGGCCACTGCTGTCATCTTGATGGGAAAGAAAGACTTCTGAAACGAAGKTGCTGAGGGATCTTGCAGCAGTAGGACAGACAGCTGAGGCACCCATTGCAGAGAAAGAGGGAGGCAACTCCAAAATCTAGCCTTGACTGCAGAAATGCATCAGTGGATGAATTTCTTTGAAAAGCAACTGATGGCAAAGGTGGGTACTGATGGAGGGGTAAAACATGAAGGAGAGGATGAGTAGAGGACGTGTTTTGGACTGGCTTCTGAACAATTTTCTGGGAAACTGCAGATGTTACACATATGACAGGATCATAGCTGAGAGATGTCTGAAGGTTTAGCGAYAGGCTTCAGTTTGAAGAAAATGCAAGCCCTTGTGGTCCTTTTGGGTGCTGAAGCATGATGCAAATATACACTCATCGTATCTTACCATTTTACAGAAATGGATAAAGCATAAATGGGCATAAATCAACTCACCCCCAACAACACAGCCAGTAAGACCAGCCAAAATCCTCTCTTAGTGGCCTCACTGATAAAGCACCATGCTACTTGTGTTTCATCTTTCTTARGACTTTTCTGAGCAGTGGTAGAGTTCCCCAAGCATCTCATGGTTGAAGACTTACCAGCTTTTGTGRATCTCCCACAACCCTTTACTGTGAACATAACCTCAGCTAAGTGTTCAGAACCCCTACACTATAGAATTATTTTTAAAGAGCTTATAACCCTTAGAAGGTTGTCTTGGAGACCTTGCTTAATCTTCACTGAAAGGTAAGGTCACCATGTCAGGGGCAAGGAAACAAAGAACAGTATTTTCTACTAAACAGGCTGTAACTTCACAGTACAACTGGGTCACATGAGCAATCTTCAGCACATTAACATGCCTGTAATGCTTACCAGTTGCACTTTYCACTTCTTGTCCATTGACCACCCATGGAAACCATTCTGCATGAGAAGAGAGAGGAGTGAAAAAGACATATTTATAGTTTGCAGGCTTTGTGAAATTTTAATGTTAATCTATCCAGGAGACACCACTGCCCTCTGCGGAAGGGAGAAATGCTCTTCACTCAGCCTCAGCCTCCACTGCTGGCTGGGTTTGCTGTTTAAAGGCTCATGATGCAGCAGATCCTGATCCTACCCCTGCTGCTTCCAGGGTCAATGCTAGGCACAGGGACAAGTTAGTAAATACCTCCAGATCTGCTGGCAGACTTTGCCCTTCAGAAACCTCTTTTGATTCATTTTGGAAAAAAAATAAATCCATGTAGCCTTCCTGCTCTGGAGGCTGGGCAAAATCCCTATCTCTATTTTATAAAAGAAGAAACTGAGTCATGGAAATTATTCACTTGGGGTCATGGATTGAGTAATTGGTACAGTAAAAAGAAGACTGCAGGTTTTGTAGCTCCTTAGGCAAATCATCCAGCCTGGTTATAGAGCACAGAGCAGATAATCTTTCCCCTGTCAGCCCTTGGGTGAACTGGAGAAGGGGAATGATRCAGGCTTGGCAGTGCATACTACGTGGAAGAGAAGAAATTGAAGCTGGGCTAGACTGTTTGTTCAAATATGAAGGGTGACAGAGCTGCTTCCTTACAGCAGCCAGGAATAGGAAAATATTTCCTGCTAGCCATGGACAAGGGAAATGTCTGCATAACTGGGGTGGGGTGAAGGAAGGAGTTGGCAGGAAAAAGCCAGTGGTCTGGGGCACTGCAGAGATGTGTGCATGACCAGCCAAAACTCAGTACACTCTGCTGTATTGTGAACTCAGCCTGTAGCTTTCTGCTCTTAATGGGACTGTGTGGGTAAAAACTATGAGGTCTGGAGCTTTTGTCTTCATTCTTCCACATTCCAAGGGCAGTTGTTTGCAGGCCGCAGAGGGTCTCTTGGGACCCCTACATAATCCTGCTCTACAGCATTACAAAGGGTTGCTGGACCCTGATATTCCGTTCCCCACCCAGCTGCCAGCAAGGGCTCAGCCACTGGCAATTAACCCAGGGAGAGCCAGACTTGTATAATAACTTAAGTACGCAATTCAATACAGCCCAAAACTTTCTCTGCTCTGGCTAATCTCTTCATTGTAACAAGCAGAGAATAAAATGGTGTTGAACACTTTCTCATTTGTTTCTGATGCAAAAGGTAGGAGACAATTTCTGAAACCATGGCAGAAGTCAGCAGTGCTGAATTTGAAGAGACATGTAGGAAAGACGGGGGGCTTCTCCCTCTCTTCTAACATTGAAAAGTCAGCTATTACGAAATTTCTTTTTCCCCTAAGAGTTGAATAGAAAACCAGTCCAATTCTAAAACAACAGGACCTAAGTAAAGTGAAATCTCTGCATACAAGGGATTTTCTTATCCCATCTCAATCACTTACATTCATATTTGCTATGGTACCCACTAAATAAACCTTATAAATAACTGGACCTTCTTATCCAAGTTGCAGTAAATGCGTCCTTGAGGTCTAGTACTGCAACCCAAACCCACCAAATCTGTAGCTTGCCCAAAATCAAAAGAAACTATGAAAGACAACCTGGTGATTCCTGTTATTTTCAAAGTTTAAACAAACAAACAAACAAACAAACAAACAAACAAACAAACAAACAAACCCAAACCGAAGTGCTTAAACAAAATACACACAAGTGTATAATCCTTTCAGGTTTCCTTCATGCATCATAAAAAGCACAGCCTTTTTTTCCCCCTTTCAAATTGTAGCCTGCCTATAAACTCATCTCTTGGATGTCTCAACTCCCTGCTTCAGAGTCATAAACATGACATTGCTTATTGTGCAGCTTTACAGGAAAAAGTGCTATGTGGAGGAGAATCAGGCTTCAGCATGAGACAGGGACCAAGGAGGGTATTGGAATAACCTGATTTGAATGTGACAGGTTGACATCTCTCTCCTACAGTCTTTGCTGGGAAAAGCTTTATCCACTCACTGAAATTAATCTTCTTTTACTATCTGTCCTGAGTCTTCTGACTATAATGTCTGATGCTGCCCTCTTATTTTGCTTTTTCTTGTGGTGCTTTTTAAATAAAACAAACCAAATTTGATCTGAATTTTTGCCAAAGTAGCTCCAAGCAGACAAAGTTGTGGACAAACAAGACAGAATAACAACAACCACCACAACCAAAAGCAAAAAAATGTCTGAACTTTTTTCAGGTGGTGAAAAGAGGTGAGGTTTCTCAAAACAGCTGTACAAATACTACAAAACACTCCCAGCAGCTGAGTGGCTTGGAATGAGGTCATTCTAGCAGGAATTGCTAGTGACAGCAAATGTGTCACAACTGCAACAGAACAGATTTTGCAGAGCACTGGGAAATGCCCTGCAGATCATGCATACACGGGTGGTACAGCAGTAAGCACAAAGCACACCTAACCCTCTTTCTCAACTCCATCTGGATGTTTTGCTTACATAAACATACTTGCAATAGAAGCTGTGGACCTCTGTCTCTTGTGACTGTCAGTACATACTGGAGAGTGTCATAGATGGAAAAATTTCCAGTTTCTATTTTTTTCCTTACAATCCTATATCCACCTTGCCTTTCCTGTTCAGTCCTTCTCCCTTCACTACCACTGTACACATGTCTGTCTTTGTCCTTAGATCATTGCAAATTTTTCTGTGTAGGAAACCCTACAGTTTTCCTGTGTAGGAAACCTGTGGGGCCCAGATGGGAAAGAAATCCTCCCCCTGGGCATAAGGACTCACCAGCTGGGGACAAGAAGAGTGCTAAGAGACAAAACAGTATACAGGTTCCAGAGGTCTTCATCCCTGTGGAGTGGAGGAGAGAACAGAGGAAAACTAAGGCAGGAACTGTACATCTTCCCCTATACCTCAGAAACTTTGCTTCTTGTCCCCATTTTCCTGTCAAGATCATTTTTGGTCTTCCCAGCCTCTCTCCTGTCTCTCTACTCACGTTGCCAGTTTTTCAGGTATTTCTGAAACATTCTGCACTAAACTTCTAACACCACCTGCTTTGTTCCTCTTTCCATCTCCTTTCTCCAGTCCCCATCTCTTTTCCCATCCAGGTAGCTAAGCCCTACTCCAAACACACYCTCAGCATGCAAAGGAAAGTTTCCCCCATGTTATCTCCCTCCATTCTCTTCCACTTTTCAGTAATTTCGAGGAGCACTGAGAGAAAAGACAGGGTCCCCATCACTTACTGCAGCCCTCAGCTTCCACTCCCTTCAGCAGCAGACGCTCTCTTTTTCCCCTTCGGTGTCCCCCCACTTTGGCTATTGGGTAAATCACATGCAGCCACACCCAGAACACGTTCTCCTTTTGGTTGTCTTCAAAATACAATTTCTGGGAAAAAGGAAAAAAAAACGAACAAAAAAAAATCCCCAAGAAGCCAGCGATAGTATCATCATGCATGTGGAATGAGGGGAGGGGGGGAGCAGGAGCAGCAGCCCACACCCTCATTCCAGAGTTTATTGTCCTCCGAAGGGGCTCCTCCCATTCCCCCAGGATGACCCAGCACCAGGGATGGATTTTTGGGTCTGTGTTGCACACTGGTGTCCCGTTTCGTCCTGGCCTGTTATCCAGCCCGGCTTCTCCTCAGGCCGCTACCTCTAGCCACGTTTCCCAACTCAGCTGCTGGCTCTSCCCGCCCCAGTCCTTCGATCCTCTTCCCTGTTTCCTGCCCGCCTGCGGCACACAGGGACACTGCGGAGCCGCATCCCGTTCTCCCGCAGGACGTGCCCGGATCCTGCCCGCAGCAGTGCCGGGCCGGGGCCGGGGCCGGCGGGCAGACCGAGTGGCAGGGGGACATCGGCGGGCAGCGACAGCGGTGACACCGGCCAGCTGCCCCGCTGGCGTTTCCGGGCGGGAYGGAGGGACGGCTCTTGCCGCTGGACCGGGCTCGTGGCGGGCAGGGARCGCGGGGAACGGGAACAGGTACCGGCCACGGGGCTCGTCCTGCAGCGCCGCTGCCGTTCTGGTCTGAAAAAAGGCAGGGAATACGGAAAAAAAAATTAAAAAGGTTGAAAAAGTAGGGAAATGAGAGAAACACAAACTAAGAGGGAAGACGATGAATAAGACCTGACTTTCATTGCCATCCTCCTGATTCCCCTGTGCCTCCAATCACGCTGCATTTTATGATCGAGGGAGGGGCAAACTCCTAAGTCCCACTGCAACAGCCACTCTCCCCTAACGCTTCCTCCTACAACCCCCGGATCCGAACCCCTCCTGTTGCTTTCACTGCCTTCTTTTCCCTTTGCTCCTTCTGCAACAACTCTGCTGGGTTTGAGGAGGCACTGGATGAGTTTCAAGACAGTCTCCTCCCTGGAGCCAAGGAAATGACCTCACCTCTCTACCTCATACAGCAAAAAACCCCAAGAAATCTTGTAGGCGAAAGCTGTGTCCCCTACGACTCATCCTGGTAGCTTGGTAACCTAAATTTGTTCTCAACTAATTGCAAACTAGAAATAAAATCCTATAGTGCCTTGTACACAGTTACTAACGGAAATGCTCACTGAGTCCTCACAGCCACACGAGACACAGAAGGATGTGGTCTGCATGTGACAGAACTGAAGCCACCACTTCTTACCGCAGAGAGGCTGAGCATCAGGTGCGGCAGTGCTCAAGAGGAAAACGACTGCTCCTTCTTATTTGTGGTCCGCCCAAGACTCCTGGATGAAGCACCAGTGGTGGACCACACCAGAGGAGGTGCAGAGGGGGTGGGAAAAGCTAAGCATTTTCCTGCTCAACAGGACAGCCTTCTGAACCCCAAACATCACTACTCTTTCACGGGAGCGAGACACCACCATTCCCACTCTCAGGGACCGGCTAAAACTGAGCCTAGTGGAATGCTCAAGAGGTCATTAAACAACCAAAAGAATGTGATGGAAATTATAGGCACACCCCAGTTTGAGGAATCCTCTCAGATCCTTGTCCTTTTCTGGCAGTTTACATAGCAGTACGCTTGGGCTACGATTTCCCTCACACCTTGGTTTAGTGTTTGTTTTTCTGTGTGCCTCTATGCTGTCATTTGAGCCTGTTACTGCTTAACTGGATAACTAAAACATCCTGAAGACCTTGTGAGTTCTGAACACATTTATTTGGAAATTTTCATTGATGCCAAATGGTTTGGTCTATCAGTGTGTTGATGTACCAGCACCTCCCAGAGAGCACAGCAAGTCCTGGGAGTGGTTTCTGCTGATTTCTTTTGGAGCTTTAAATCCTTCTTTCAGACTGGAAGACTACATCCTTCCCCACCTGCTCGGTGCAGATAGACCCCTTGTGCTAGCAGAACTCCTCCATTTGGAGAGCTTGCTGCTGATGACGGAATTGCTGGCTGGGAAGCTGTTCAGTATTTTGCATACCAGACAAGCCACAGAGAAAATAGCTGGAGATTTCCTGCTGCTCTTGCTCGCGGTGGACACCGGAGGGAGCCGCAGCCCACCGGTGTGTGAATGCCCCTTTTTTCTCTTGCAGTACAAACAATTTTTCAAGACATGTGGCTCTGCGTCTGCAAGCCTTCATCTGATACGAAGGACCTCCTCTTAGCTCTCCTGTTTTTCTGTCTACCGGATCAGCAACTGTTTAACCTGACTTTTTGTGCAGAAATTAATCTTGATTTTCTCCCCACCTCCTTGACCCATGATATTGGCAAAGATTGATGGACACCCTTCATGGATGGGAGATGTGAATAATTAACATCCTTCTGCACATTCGCGTCTCACTCACATTGCTGTTTTCTGCTTTGCATGCTGCTGTGCTCCATCACAGGGTATCTTGGGGACATCTATGGCTGATGACTCAGGAAAAGCACTCAGGAAGAGCACTCTTGTTAAAGTTCAGGTGTCAGTGCTGCACCGTGGTGTGAAGAACTGAGCCACAGTAAATGGCATGGTTGACTCATAAAGGAAACACTTCCATATATAAATCCCCTCAAGTGCTGTTCCCAGTGCTTCTAAGTGTTTACCGAAGATTAGAAGCAGTGATTCAGCAAAAACTTATCTTCCTTCCCAGTTGGTACTGATCCCATTATGTTATTTGGGATGCTGTGGTGATGGTAGTGTATTTTGGCTGAGGTGCAAAATCAGCCTTCCTGGAAATTAAAATCTCCTGGTGCATATCACCCTGGAGACTTCTGCATCCAAACAGGCAGTTAAATGATCCTGGGCCATACTATTTTCAAAGGTCTCGGAGACTTTTACCTCTCCTCTTTGTTTCCTTGGCCTTCACATGTCCTCATGGTAACTGGGCATTGAGTTACATCTGAGTGATAAGAAATTAATGAACTGCTGTGAGATCTGTGAATGCATCATGTCAATAAAGCAGCTCTACTCGTCATGTGAATTAGGGCTGAAACAAATTTTCTTGGGACCCCTGCTGCTGATGAGCTCCTTTAATATCTGAGGTCTGGCACCATCCTGCAGTTGTTCCACTGATGGTGCTGAAGTCACCAGTGGGAAGGGACATGCGTTCAATGCCTGATCCATCTATCCCCAATTTTGGGAGCATCACATCTCCATTACATTGTAGAAGAGAGAACACTGCCAAGTACAGGAGCCTAGACACACAATTAGTCTCTTTTTTACTCAGTCATGCTTTCTCTTGTCCCATCTACAAAACAAAGAAATTCTTCACCCCTTTAATTTCCAAATCAACAAGGTAGTGCTTGGAGGGCAGGCAGCCTTGTGGTCACAAAATACACCAAGGTCACGCAAGAAACACTGATTAATGCTGGCTCACTCCTTCAAATTAGTTCAGCATTGTGAATAATTGAGCACAAAGAGGAAATCAGTGAGCTCTTTCCTATTTGGTTGGTGATTTGGCCATGTGCTTCAGGCTTCTCATGGCCAAGGTGGCTATGGTGARTTGTCAGGGCCTTCCTTCTTCACTTGTGTGCTTTGGGGTTTCCTTCTCTGCTCTTTCTGTAGTTCTTAATGTCATAAACATCCTTCCCTTCTGATCCTTTGTCGGATCAGGGTCTCAGGGTTGATTCTTCCTGGCTGTTTTACCTGTTCCTCCACACTCCCCTATCTCCAAGGAGCTGAGCTCAAATATGGCTTTTCTCAGGGAACTTCTTCCAAAACCACTCTCTCAGGCAGCGCATAACACTTTAAGCTTAACAAATACATAAATCCCTCGCGCAAGCCCAGTTGTATTTGTCCATACAGACCCTGGAGCACAGAGAAACACCGTATTTAATTCAACTGGTGGATTTTTTTCATAAAGATGAGGCTGCAGACACAAGTAAAACATCAGCAAGGACATGATGAATTCCCCCTCCCCTTCTCCCATCTCTTCTGGACAACCCAATCCCTGGAGCAAAGCCAACAGGATTAATTCTCCTGTTGCAGCACAGCAATCGTGCACTGGAGCAGTAACCAGAGCTGGCTGAAGAAGTCACTGCTGGGAAGCAGAGCTGCATCTTACACCTACACAGAGACATTCACAGAGCTGCTCTGGCTCAGATCARGCCACAGTTGTGCTTCCCAAGCAACACCATATCTGTCTCACTTGACATCCAGCCTCTTGTATCATGTTATTGTCTTTTAGTAGCCATCCATGGTGGAACAGATTTCAGTGGTTTTGTCTACCATAACAATCTAAAACCAGCAAAACTATATTAATTATATTTAAAAATAGGATGCCCTGTAAGCTTTTAAACACCACTAGGGAAGGGGGAAAACATGGCAGCTTTAAAAGCTATTTGCTTTTAATTCTGTAACATTTATAAAAGATCTGTTGTCAAAGCCTTTTTTTAAACTGGCCTCATCCAAAATATGTAAATGGTTGAAGTCCTCAGTGTCAGCACGGACAGCACTCACCCTACTTCTGAAAGGATTTAAGAAAGAAGAACAAGTTGTACTGAGCAGAAAAAAATGTAAATGATGTTACTTGTTAGCCAGCTTTTTGATAAGAGTTTATGTTGCGGGGAAATTAGGAAGCACCACTTTCAGGTTTGCACCCTCCATTTGCTATGCCTTCACAGGGACTGTAAAGTCTGGCTTAAATACTCATTTATGTTTTATTCTACAGTTGACATTACAGGAATCTGAATAAAGATTTTGGGCATTACTGCAACTGCATTGATATAAGYCACTGTAGGTACTGCTGACCTCAACAAGTCACTTGAATTCTCTTGTGAACTTCCCCATGTGTAGTCACTATTCTAACTTGATGGCAGACTGAAACCAAGGCAAGCAATGTTAATGAAAATCTGTCCCAATGCAAAATGTATACATGTAAAGGGCCTGCACTGCTTTAGCTCACCTCAGTTTTAAAGAGATGAAAACAGCAGCAAATGTAGATCATTCTGTATCAACGTCAACTTCACCTTCACAAGATGCCTGTAAAAGGGCAACACTGGTAACTGAAAAATCTAATTTGGTACTATTATAATAATTTCTTGCCTCTGCCCATCAATGCAGCTGCCCTGAAACATATCTTTTTGTGAAAAGAATCTTCAACTATTCACCCATTATGTTCTTGTTCTTAGAATTAAAAGAAAAACACTTGGAATTTTATTTGAATGCAACTGTATAGAATATTTGCATTCAAATCAGAGCCCAGTGGTTTTGCTTATTAAAACATCTAAATGTTATTTCATCATATCTAACTTCTTTATCAAGGCTCCCCTTGCTATTTATTGCATACTCCTTGAGTTTTCTTGCCATGCCTGCTATCTCAGGTTTCTCTCCAATTTCA